GGGGTCCTGAGGATGTCCCGAGGAGGCTCCGGGGCTGTCGGACGGTGTGAGGGGCACTGGGGGTGTCCCGAGGAGGCTCCGGGGCTGTGTGGGGCGGTGTGAGGGGCGCTGGGGGTGTCCCGAGGAGGCTCCGGGGCTGTGTGGGGCGGTGTGAGGGGCGCTGGGGGTGTCCCGAGGAGGCTCCGGGGCTGTGTGGGGCGATGTGAGGCGCCCTGAGGGTGTCCCGGGTGCTCGGGGGAGCCGCAGGCCGCTGTCCCCGGGCCCCGCGGCGGTGGCGTTGCCATGGTGAGCGCTCCGGAGCCGCGCCGGGCCCGGCAGCGGCCGCGCTGCCCTTGGAGCCGCGGGTGAGGGGGCGGCCGGGCGGGGCAGGGCCGGGAGGGGTGCGGGACCCCCCGGGCAAGGCCGGTGCCTCCGTGTGCCCCGCTCGGGGTCAGCCTGACCGCAGGGACGGGCACAATCAGCCCCCGCGCCGGGCGGTGACACAGCACAGCCGCTGCCCTTGGGGGCCGCCGGTCCCGCTCCCTCAAGGCCGCTCGCTGGGCGGCTGCGGGCTGGGCATGGCCGGTGCACAGCGGAATGATGGAGCTGGAGCTCCTCCAGCAGCACCCCGGGCAGGAGGGAGCGCACGGGGCACCCAGCCTGAACCTGGGGATGTGCTCTGCCCTACCGAGCCAGGCTCTGCCTGCTCTGCCTCGCTTAGGGTGTCTGGAACATGGAGCCACTTACTTTTCAAGCCAAACCCAAACTCAGTGCTCTTCTTTTACCTCTCCCTTTACTGTCATGCTTCTGGCTTCCTCAGCCATGCTCGTGAACCAAACCTCTGCGGCCACAATGTGTTTCTCTGTTCCTGTGTAGCTGGGTGCCACCCCTGAGTTCACCCTGTGTGTGCATTCCTGTAGTAGCAGGCAGCATGGAGGCCCTGGCCGAGGAAGTGGATGAAGCAGAAGATGTGAACTCTTCGAATGCCAGCGATGTTGTCGATGACCAGGCAGCAGATGTAAATCGGGAGGAAGGCTCTGTCCTAAGTGATGTACCGTAAGTCACAGCCTGCCCATCGCTGCATTGGGCAGAAATGGTCCCTTTGGGGCCCACAGGGAGATTGCACACGTGTGGATGGCATGTGTGGTCCCCTTGCACAGGGATGAGAGTGAGCAAGTTTCATGTGCCTGACGTGTTTGTTCAAGAGTGTGCGTGTGCAAGTTAAGACGAGGTAACTCAGTTGATTGTACATCCACTCACCCCTGTATAAAGAACCCCTGAGACTCTGGGTGTATGTCAGTTTGCCATTGCTYCAGAGATGCTTGGCTATGTCAAAATCATATCCTTGGATATGGTCCCCGTTGTTATCTGTGAAACAGGGAAGCCTGCCATGTTTTGATACCAGGTCACCCTGCCTGTGTTGCTCCTGGCTTATTACCTGTGTCTCTCTGCCTCCCCCTGTCACGTAAGTGCTTTTGACTGGAGCTCCATTGACACATCCCACYTACCATCTTCGTACAAGACAAATTCCAGGCAGGAGAAGGAGCTGCTGCAGCTTGTTGACCATTTCCTCCAGCAGTACATTCACCTGTGCCCCAATCGCAAGCCTCTCTTCGTCTACCCAGTCAACGAGTGTGGTGTGCAGGTATGGTGCATGATGCTTAGGAAACAGGGGAGACCACAGAAACATGAAGGGATGTAAGAGAAACACATGAAATAGATAAGGCTCAGGCTCAGCCACAGATGCAGAGAATGGATCCAGAGTTAGGTGTTAACTCTGAACTTTACAGAAGTTACAGGGAAGGAAGTAAATGTGGAAGTTTGTGGTCTGGTTTTGTTTTTGCTGGGTCCAAGCTGCACAACTGTTGCCTAGTTTAGGACCTTACATACCCCCTGGGCACCTGGAATTGCAACTTTGCACCAGCTTTCCCCAAAATTTGTTTTTCATTAATATGTAAGGCAAAAAATGCTGGATGATGTAAAAGCCAGAAGTGCAGTAGCTGTTTTACTTGCTTGAAAATGAAGAGAAGAACTGGCTCACATCKGTAATGTGTCTGAGATGAGCTTGAAGTTTCAGCCAGAGGGAAGCAGCCAGCCTCCCAACCCCATGAAATTTCCATCTTGGGACAGGAGATAAGGGATATTGATGCTGTTGATATGCTCTGCGGAGTTCTTGAATATGAGCTGCAACATTCAGGATGARGATGGCTTTGTACAGGAGACTCTGTCAAGGGCCTGTTGGCTAACCAAAATCYTCTTGTTGCCCCACAGAAGTTTGTGAGCACAACAGTGAGGCCAACCCTGCTGCCTTTTCCAGAGCTGTACTACTGGGCAGGCTGTGCCACCTTTGTCTCTGATTACCTCATCATGGAGCCCCTCAAGTGCCCAATCACGCTGGTAAGAAAGGGGCTGCAGTCCCATCAGAGACATAACAGAGGTGACAGAAGGGCCTTTCAGCAGGATAGTGGGAAGATCTTTGACGCTTCCACAATCCCCTCACTATTTAGGCAGCCCCCTGATTTTCCCAGACTCTGTGCACTCTGTTGGACTCACAGTCTCATTGCATGGCTTGTTCAGTGTGGTACCTTTTAAATAATTAAGCAGCATTTCTTCAAGACCAGACCGTGCTTTCAGCCAGCCCAGATGACCAGCTGGTGCACTGTGGGAGGCACTGTGGCTGCTGTGAATCAGCTAAGACAAAGAGAACACAGTCCTTGCTAGCAAGGACAGCAGAGTGACCCAAACAATCTACACCAGCCAGGGGCTGTCCCAAGAGTCCCAGGGTCTCAAGGGGAGCTCTGGCACTCTGTGACCACTGAGAAGGTATCTCCATTTAGCAGACAGAGACTACCTTGATCACTTTAGGTGATATCTGAGATCTGAGTGGGATTAGAACCCCTCTGTGTGCAGTATGTGTGTATTGATCCCTTTTCTTGCTCTCCACGAGGGACAGAAGGAAATATGTTTCCTCCTGTGAACTGTAATTTAACTAATGGGTGTTTTCATTGGAAATGATGTAGACAGAACAGAAGGAAGTCCCATTCCGGGATTGTGATTAGCATTAGGTTTTCAGCAGTTTGATAAATTTGTCATACCCTTCTCTTCCTGTGATTAACTTTGTCATCAGATTTGAGGTCAGAATTTCCTCAGATTATTTTGGAGGGGACTTTCAGAGTCTGTGGCTTTCAGAGGAATGTTATATAACAGATTCCCTATGGGTGCAGAGCCCAGGGGTGTGGGCAATTCCTCTCTCYCTTGCTCTCTGCCTGGTGCATGTTTCAGCTCCACCAGACAAGCACTGTGAACATGCATCTCTCTGTTTCAAGCCCAGTTCACTCTATTCCCCAACCACCATCCTGAAATACCAGCGAGGGAACTGCTTTGACTTYGCTGTGCTGCTGTGCTCCCTGCTGATCGGGGCTGGCTACGATGCCTACTGTGTAAATGGATATGCCACCCTCGCGGTGTGCTCCCTGGACCAGTCTCAAGAGGTGTGCCCACGGCTCAGGAAGCCACCAGAGGTGAGATCTGCAGTGAGTGGGCAGGGAGGTGCCCAGCATGCATGCTCAGCTTATTTGTGTCCAGTGAGCTCCAGAGCTGAACTCGGGGGAACAGTTTCAGGTCCACACTGGGTTTCAGTCTGTACCAGGGACCTCACCAAAGGAATCCTTTGAGCCATTTTCTAAAGTTCCTTATAAGGCCTCTTTGGCTTCAATGAATTTCTGCTCACCAGGTGCAATATTGCAAACTGCCAAGTGTTGGGAATTGGGAGGTACCTGTAAGCCATACATTTACTTCCTTCTCTTGACCTCTGCTGGGTTTCATAGTAATACCCTGCTTTTGYAGGTACCAGAAGAGATTGACCCCAACCAGTATAGAATTAAGTACCCTTCAGAGCCACAGAGCGAGTTTGAGCTTCARCATATGGCCAAGAAAGAGGAAGAAAGTGAAGATGTTCAAGAGGAGGAAAGAGAAGAAGAGGTGGTCACGGTGAGTTAGCAAGGTCCTCCTTACTGTGAGCTCCAGTAAGAAGAGCTGAGACACAGAAAATGGCCAAAGGGAGGAGCTCACATCCTCCTYTGTGAAGTATGACATGACCTTGATCATGTCCATGAGCACTTGGCCTCCTGGAGCACAGTGAGTGCTGGTACAAGCATAAGTGCTGGGTATGTACTACCTCACTCTTAAAGAGCAKTAAGAGCCTGGAGTTCTTTAAAAGTGGGCAGAGGAAAGGATAAGATTRCCCTTGGGTTGGATTAAAATGGCAATAAAATGGCAGTAATTACTGCTCTATCCTCTGTGCTGCAGGAGGTAGAAAAACCCAAGAGAGACCCTTGGCACGGCTTACGGGTGCACGCGTGGGTTCTGGTTCTGTCTGGGAAGAGGAAGGTTCCTGAGACCTTCTTTATCAACCCMTTCACGGGAAATGACCAYAGCACCACRGATGAGTGCTTTCTTGGGATTGAGAGCATCTGGAACCACAGGAACTACTGGGTGAACATGCAGGACTGCCGGAAAGGCTGCAAGGTAGGGAGCCCTTAGCACCTTGGGGATGTGAGGGACAACTGGGCTAACCTGAGTCCTGGGGAACTCCAAGACAGTAGTCCAGTTTCCACTTAGCCATTCCTTGTGTTGGTTTTGGTCAKGTTGCTCTGATTACATAGACTCTGAAACTACTCCAGGACATCCCAGACTCTGAGCTAGCAAATACAGATCACATCCATTAAATCCCCACAGTGCTAGAATTTCAGGGTTAAAGGCTGGCTAGGCACTCATTTTCTCAATCAACAGCTTTTGTGGCAGAGGATGTTTTGGGCCTGTCAGGCAAGGCTCAAGGCAGGTAAGGTCTTGATTAGGCTCTTCCCACACCTCAGCTATTCCCCAGCAGATGCAAAGTCWGGGAGGGGAGGGTCTGAGATAGATYAGCTTGCCCTGGGGCCATGCTTGCCTTGAGGAAGGAGACAGAAACATTTCCAGCCATTTCCTCTCATCTGTAGAAGAGGCACCCTGAGGAAGGAGTTCTGCAGTCTCCAGGAACAGGGAGAGCCTTTGGGGTCCCACCAGCCAGCCAAGGGTCTGAGGAACTCACCTCACTGAGGTCCAGATCTCTGGAAACCTTAAACTCTCTGAGATCCAGAGCACCACAGATACATTGATGCAGTGGCCAAATTTAGTGTCAGGCTCTTGACTCTGCCCYGTATTTAAAAGTTTTTCCTGTATGCCCTAGGATCTCAGCTTTGACTTGAGTAATTCTATCTGTTGGGAAATGATGTTTGCAGAGAGCGACAAGCCTTCTGAGTCACCCACTGAGTCACCCAAGAAACACACKGATGACATGGTGAGTGACCCAAGCGATGCTCTTGTGCAGTGTGTGTGCAGTGGKGACACTACATGGAACCAGCATGTCCATAGGCCCCTGGATATCTGCCTGCCTGCTGCCCTCCCCAGGTCAGATCCCTTCTGCTCTGCCASGTTTGGATTCCTTCTCAATCTTGAAGAGTTCTAATGCTTTCTGAAGCAGGACTCCAAGTGGTACTTCAGGTGTCATAAGTGGCCAGGGATCTTGGCAAGCCTCCAGTGCATTGACATTTGGGGTGAAAAAAATTTTAAAAATAACATACAGAATAAGATTTTTCTGAACATTCTTTCTGTGCTCCTCACCTTCCCTTCCTGGCTGCAAGGTAGAGGTGCCAACAAAATGCAGAAATAATRTATGTCCTCTAATATACAAAAAAATGCTGCATATAGAAGCATTTCCCTAGAAGCATCACTGCAGTTCACCAGAACCAAAATGCCTCCTGGCACAGTAAGAGATGCTGCCAAAACCACAAATCTMTGCTTCTGTTTCGCAGGAAGATGGGGAAATAGACATGACTTTTGAGATGCCACTGACGTGGGTAGCCCAAATTAAGGTATCTTACACAGGTATGTATTCTTCCTTTGCCATTTGCTTGCTCCCAGCTGACCTTTCAGTGGATTTGGGATGTGTTTATCTCACTTGAGGGTTCTTCCTTCAGGATAGTCAAGGTGTAGCAGTGAAGAACAACAGATGAAGGCCACAACAGCTATTGGTTCAAATGTCTCATCCACCACAGACACACACCCACACTGACACCCACTCTCTGTTTTCCTGCCAGATGGGAATTTTGCCTGGGATAGTCTTTCTGTTACTGCTGTGCATAAGGAACTGCTCCTGCATTATCAAATATCTGGTTTGGGAGAGAAGAAAGTTACTATACCATTATAACATTAAAGGACAACAGGCAGGGTCTGAACAGCTTTATTGGCAGCAGAATGCAATAAATGAATGCATAATATCCCTTAGACCATGGTTTTCTCCCTCTTAAATTATTTTTTTATTAATCTGAGTACAGCAGAGTCAATTTGTCTGACATCTCTTTTCCCCACTGCAGAATTTGAGAATCCCTTTTCCCGRGGGAAGAAGGTGATCCTGTACAATAAAGCAAAACAGGAGAAATGGGCAGCGTATGTGAATGGAGATGGGCTGGTGGAACGTGTCACTGTCTACGCAGACTCAGAGCGTAAGAGGGCTGAATGAACACACTCTACACACTGAGCAAAGAGCTTGGGACATGCTGATGGAAAGGGGGAGGTGGTCCCCTTTCTAACAGAGTCTCTCCTGTGCTTTCTCATTCTTTCAATTTCGTGGAGGAATTATCTACCATATGCTCAAACTCTTCATCCCACTCACTGTCTGTCAAGCCCCCAAACTTTCSAGCATTGCTAGGGGTTTTCATGAGAGTTTGAATTTGTTTTACACAWCAGTGAAATGTTCAGTGTCACAGATCAGCTGCTTGGACTTTCAGTCTTCAGAGAAATGGAGGGCTGGTTTGATTTGATCCAATAGTATCACTATCCTAATTTCCTCAGTGGTGTCAAAAGGGGCCATAGAAAGGGGCAGCTACGGCCTGAGGATATCTCTATACTTGAAAGCATTACTTTATAACAGCTGGTCCAAGAAACTATGCAGATTCCTAACTGGGCATACAGTGTCCTGTTCAGCCTTCTTGGATAGTGTGGTGATCCAGTCTCCTGACACCATCATAAAGTATTTGGGATGGAATTTCTCTTGCCTATCCATAGCCCTTTGCCATGCCATGTTCTACTTGTGAGCTTGACTACTCTAGTTCTGTTTGGCAGAGGGGAATAGACCCTCYTAGGGTATAATTAATCTACTCAAATGTGGATTAGGATTCACATACAAAATTCCCCTGTGCACAGGGCCAGTTCCAGTGGCCATACTATGTCCACTGTAGCTGTGGAGCACAGGRTGCTGGCACAGACACTGAGAGCTCATCAGAATTATGTCACCGCCAACAGGGTGACCTAAGGTTGCAAAATTACTTGTCTTCTGTCAGGCACTGAAGAAGTGGAGGTGAAGTTRTGGTTCAAACACCGAGAAGACCTGTTGTATATGAGGGAAGTAAATAAACAAACAAAGATGACCACAGACTATTTCCAGCCAGGACACTCCCTCCTTCTTAAAGGTATTCCAGCTCATCTGGGCAGCCACTGTAGCTGATGGGATTTCACATGACTCCCTTCTAGCAGTGGCAAAAGTCCAAAGTTGAAAGGTAGAGGGGAGAGGATACYTGTGGGATAAATTGCTTAAATAGATAAAATGGTCTCCAGTGAAGAGTAGAGAATTGGGTTGGTAGCTTGCAATCCTGTGCAGTGCTCCCCCAGCTGTGTAGTTTTTKATGTATTAAATACATAGTTATCATGTATATCAGGGTGGTACATTTCTACTTTTATCAGTAGAATTGATAGAAGTTGAAACTTTGTCTTCAGGATTGTGTTTATTCTCTCAGTCTTGTGCAGCTGGGGGAAAGTCCTGCATCAGATCTGTTGCTAAAGCTGAAGAAAATGAGACCTCCCCTGGACATGCTTGTGTTCACTGTATTATGGATGCTAACTCTGAAAACATGTGTGATTTGCCCTTAGCTCACTCCTATACGTCGATGGAACCTGAGACTGGCCACACAATGGAGTTTTACCATGAGGCGCGAGTTGATAACCTCTGGAAACGTTCTGAAAGTGCTACTGAGATGACAGAGTACTTCATGGGGCGGAGAGATTTCCTGCACACGCGGCACATAGAGTTTGGTGAAAGAGAAACGGAAACGGAAACGGCTGGCACCAAAACTGATACCAGCCCCCGGCCTATAGTGGTATGGCCAATGCAGGAACAGAAAAATATGTATCACTGTGATATTTACACTATGCAAAACATACTGCCTGAGGCTTTAGTTCATTTTCAGTGGGCATGGCTGAGGCAAAACTCCAAGTGTTGTTCAGCTGCTGTGTCTCACAGTTGCTTGTGACAGAGTGCTCCAGTGTGACCAGTTGTCAGGAACTGCACTGAGCAGCTAGGGTTAAACTAGGAAACTAAGCCTTGGAAAGTGTCTGCCAGAGGAAAGAAAAAACAATTTGCCTATGATTTTGGAACAAAATTTTCCCAAGATTCAAAACTAGGAAAATGATTTTGTGTGCTGAGTCCAAACTRATACCATTTCAGTTTCATGATGAATTGTCCCATCACTCTTTGATTTGTTATAGGCAGGCAATCTACTTCTTCCTTGTATCAAGTCTGGTTTGTACAACAGAAGGAGGAGGAAATCTGTTATCTGGCAGTATGTATGGCTCAGACACTTCATATTGGTTTAAGCAGCTATATGGTTGGAGTTTTTTTTAAGACATAGGCAAGAACAGTAGGACCGTTGGCCAAGAGATGCAAGTCCAGGCAGAAAAGTGCAATTTTTACCTTGGGTTTTTACCCAAACCTGTAAATCTTGCCAGTTTTGTGTTGTCTAAGTTGCTTCTGTATCTTTTTTTCACTCTCCATTAGCAAATCAAGGAGCTTTTCCACAGAAATCCAGAAAAGCCTGCTGATGAAGATGTAAAGGAACGTATCTTTATGGTCATAGATGATGTCATCCAGCTGACATATCATCTCGAGGTTAATGACACCGTTGCCTCAAAGGTGGTTTTCTGCAGAGTAATAGGGAGGGAGAAGAGAGAAGAGGAAATCTTCCTGAGCCGAGARAACTCTGTCACATACCAGGTATGAAGATCCCATGACACCAAGGGAAGATGAAATGTCAGTGAAAGAACTACAAGCTTGACATATTCCATGCTGTCCCTCTATTCCACCTGCACACCTCCAGGYTGACAAAACCAACTGCTCAAGAGATGCATTGCCATGCTGGGAGTGACTGGGAGTGCAGGATGTAATGTGGCARTGACAGGCCTGCTCTAGCCATGTCTGAGGTCATCTTCCCAGAYTTGGTCATCAGGCAGATCCCACATCCCCTGGGATCCTACATAATGCAGGTTCAGCAGCTGTTGGGCTCAGTTCTGCAGATTCATGGTGGGGAAGCTAAAATTTCCTCTGCTACTCCCTCTTCAAGAAGACAGAGAACAAAACAGCAAAAGCAGACACTCTGTGTTCTAGTTCTGTTTCTGCCATGGTCTTCTTGGGTCCCATCATTTCTGAGATCTCCCGGTATTTACCCTGCAGATGCAGAACAAGATGCTGAAGCTTAATACGTTGCAGATAAATAGATAGCCTTAAATGAGAGATATTCCAAAAAAAGTGGAGTGCTGCCATTAAGCCAAGTGATCTCATTAGGGAYGAGGGGTCACCCCACTAACATCATCAACGTGAGTCTGTAACCAGAGGCAGAAGTCTGCCAGTAAATTCTGCAGTGATGCTGCACAATTACACTTAAAAAAAATCAAAGAGAGATTACAAATACAGATTGTTCTTTTTAATGCTATGGGTTTTTAAAATTCTTATTTCCCCCCGAGGAGAATACGCAGAACACCATTGCTGAAGTCCCATTTTTTTTAATCTCTATTTATATACATTCCTATTAATCTCTTTTCATTCCAACTATTAAACAGCAGCATCAGCAACATGCAAGACGTGCCATCTAGCTCACATAACTGATGGATTCTAAATCAAAATAAAGCCTAATAAACCCATGCTGACCCTGGGTTCAATGTTTCAGTGATGGAAATTAGTGTTGCTTTATTTGCTATAGRATTGTGCCAGTTTCTGCCAGCAGAGTACCTGATCCCATGCACCCAACAGAGTGCTGCTATTTCTCACTAATTTATCTGCTTCCAGCCATGGTCCTCTGAGAAACACAAGAACATGCTCCTTCTGTATGACTTGCTGTGGGAGCTGAGAGCAGACCAGAGGCAGCTGAAGCAACAAGTCCGGGACTCTGAAGCAGAGGTAAGAGGGAGGTGTCCCCAGTGTCAGAATTGAACAGGCATGGAAACAGTTTCAGCTGACTGGTTGCCAAAGCCTCCTCAGCATAAACTGCATTAAGACTTTGGCGACACAAAGCTGGTCTTCATGCTGAATTATCAGTCTTACTACCCAGGCACTGTTCAGTGAAGAACAGTGTAGGCTGTAATATATTTATGGAGAGTTACACACTTTCCTGTTCCTTCTCTGGCTCTTCTAAGAGAGTTTCAGAGAGAAAATGACAATATATGAATTGGGGCGTCTGGAAGCCTATCTGCCATCTGCGCAGGAATGAGACCAAAAAGAAAGGATATTGTATGTAATGATATATCTAAGTKCTAGGCATGGCCAGGAAATCCTATCCAAAATATTGAATTGACTTGTTGCATGAGCAACTGTAGAGTAAAACTTAATRAAATACTTTGCATGTACTGCTAATCACACTATGGTGTAACAGATCCATATTCTTTGTAATTACTTYGTGATAAATATAACCATTCTAGCAGATGGAGGCACAGCTATTTGATTTCCTGTTTTTTGAGAAAGAGAAACCCCTGAAGGAGCTGCAGAGGGAATGCTCAACCATATTAGCCCAGAATATTAGTAATGATTAAGAATAACTTGGCAAAAATCACATATTTTTCTCAGAAATTTGAAGCTAGTGACCTCATGAACTACCTTGCCAAATTTCTCAGTCTTGATGTATCAACAGACAAAACATTCCAATTCCTTGTGCTGCATATCCTGTATAAGATAAAGAATTAGCCAAAGCTATCAGTGCAATTTCAAAAGTAGTGCCAAAACTGTGTCTCCAGAAAGGTTTTCTTATCAGTTAATATCATTAATTGGATTCAAGAATTTTATAGAGTAGTAATCTAAAATTAAGACCACTATCAGCTTCATCTATCAGCAGGACATGGACCTATTTGTACAGATGCATATTTAATCTTATTCAACAATTCTTGTGTGCAGCATCTGCTCTGTTAGCAGGTCAAGCATGTAAAGGTACAGTCATTTTGTGGGAAAGCTGAGGGGTCTTTCTTCTGATTTCTTCGAAGACTATAAGTATTTTGGCGTTCCGTGAGGAGGAAGAAGCCAATATTAAATTGTCAGTTTCAATGTATAACACTGCAAAGAGAGAACAGCAGGAAACCACGGTAGGTACACTTCATTAATGTCAGCATTCAGTACATGTACTCAAAGAAATCCAGAGTCAGCTTTTTCTCTCTCTCTCTCAAATTATCTCTGAAGAGCTTTTAATATCATTWAAATATATTGGGACAAAACACAGTGTGGTATAAGTCAGCACAGTTTCAATTACCTTCYRAGGTAAACATAACATGGTCATGCTATGGTCACCTTCTGACTTTCTGGAAAAACTYGCATCACCAAGAAAGATTACTGTGTTATTTTGTTTAGGTAATAAAGAAAATAATTAAGAATGATTAGTTGATAATAGGGATTATGGGGGGAGTATTTTAAAAGAGCCATAAATATGCCTGTATATATATAGTTATGGTTTTTTTTAATTAGCATGTGAGATCAAAGAACAAAATAGCYCCAGGGTGAATTTTTAGTCCTTATCTCAATCACAGATGATTAGGGCTTCTTGACTCTTTACTCTAGCGAGGCAAAACATTTGGATTTGCTGCCTCTTCCTGCTTTTTTCTGATCCCCCTTGTTTTCTTCTTCTTGTAACACCTCATCTCCAACTTTCTGCCCCCCTCAAAAACAAATCAGCTCCAATTTGTGGATTCCTTCATCTCAGCTCCCTGAATTTTGACTTGTGCTTTTGTGTGTCCTTGGTCCTCACTTTCCTCTCTGTTTCCCTGACTTCTGRTTGCTTGTTCCCTCATAGGTGCTGGAAGAAGAGCAGAAGAGCTCCCAGAATGATKTGGAGAATGAGAGTCTGCTCATGGGAGGGGATGATGAATCCCTTGCCTATCACACTGCAACCAACTCCACACTCTAGAGACACTGCAGGGATTGGGAATAACTGCCTGAGCAATGTCCAGGGGAGGTTTTTAAGTCAATCACCTAGGAACTTGGCACTGAAGCTACTCTGTAAAATACTCTAGTCCAAGTCCCACTGCAATTTTCCTCTGATATCCTCCTTCTTGTTCTAGGGAAAAGCAGTTGGCACAATAGAAACACCATTTTCCTAAAGAGAYGCTGCTCAGGAATCCTCACCTGGCTGGGCACCTTGAACATGACTGATTTCTTCATTGTTTTTCTGGAGTTTCCTGCAGTAAACTTTCACTATCATCAGATTTTTGGAGATTTTAATCATTCTGCACCTTTTTCTTTCCYCTCTTTTGTTCTAAGCCCATCTGCAATTACATTGTGCCCTCATGAAACTCCATGATGTTTGAGACTCAAGTCTGAGCTAAGATCTCAAAGGTCTGCTTCAGACAGGGAAACAAACCATACACAATCTTTCACGGTTTTTCTTTTCCAGATCTGCTCCATAGCTGCTGGCATCAGTAACAGGATCATTTGGGAATATTGATACTTTTCCAACATAATATTTTAACRAATTTATAATTCAGTTTTGCACAAGCAAAGGTTTTGAACTGGTGAGTTCACAAATATCACATTTCTTTGACCTCATTTAGAGCCCTGTAATGACAAAACCTTGCTCTGTGCAATGCTTGGTTATGAACTCATCAGTGTTAATTCAATACCAGAGAAGACATCAGAGTAAATTAATTTAAAAATCCTTTTACAGACATTAGGGACACAGCAGCTGTCAAACCATCAGCAAATGCGTATTATAGAATCATGGAACATCATGGGGTTGGAATGGACCTTAAAGATCTTCTAGTCCTAAGCCCCCAGCCATGGAATTTCCCTTTATTCCTCCAAGGCCACCTGTCCTCATTTACACTTCTGAAAGTTGTTTTTTTTTTTTTTTTTTTTTTTAAAAAAAAAAATTTTTTTTAAAAAATTTTTTTTTTTTTTTTTTTTTTTTTTTTTTTTTTTTTTTTTTTACTCTGCTGCTCAGCAGCTCCTTATCCATCCATAGAGGCCTCCTGGCAATCTTGCCCGTTTTTTTTTTTTTTTTTTCCTCTGCTGCTCAGCAGCTCCTTATCCATCCATAGAGGCCTCCTGGCAATCTTGCCCGATTTCTCTCGTCAGGATGCATCGTTCCTGAGTTTGAAGGACACGATCCTTGAAATCCAGCCTGCATTCTTGGGTTACTATCAAGGAGTAGCGTCAAATTAATTTGATTTTTCACTGTAGATGGAGTAATTWGCTTCAGGGGCGGCGAGAAACACGCACATGCGGCGCAACCGCACCTCAGCCGGGCGGCGAGAGGCACAGAACCCTCGCAGGAGTCCCGCTCCCACCGGGCTGTGCCCRTGACACCCGGGCACCGTCTCCTGGSACACACCGGCCGCAGCCCAGGRGCACGACGGCCTCGACCGCCGGCAGGCAGCAAGCTACGAGGTCCGGGAATGATCGCGGCCGCCCTCACGGAAGCTCCGGGGCGGCTCCACGCTCCGAACCGGCCGCGGAACGGGAGCGACCCAGCCCCCGCCCCTCAGGGCGGCCCCGCAAAATGGCGGCCCCCATCCAGCGCGCCGCCTTCTGATTGGCCGCGCCCGCGGCGCCCCGCCAAGAAGCCGCAGTGCGAGTGGCCGCCGCGCTGCCGTCGCCATGGCAACCACCCCGCCCACGCTTTCTATTGGCCGAGCGGCGCGCGGAGCCCGGGCAACCGCCCGGCGCGGCGCGGGGTTGTTGTGAGGGGCGGTTGTGGGGCGGTGGCGGGCGGGGGCTCCCGGTCCGGTACCGCCGGGCCCCGCCGCCACCAGCGTCCAGGCGATCGCCGTCCCCCCGACCAGCGCTCCCGTCCCGTGATGTTCATCAGCAGTGAGGCCTCGTACTGCGCCGCACCGCCTCTCGGGAGGGTCTCGCCGTGACCGTGTTCGCGTACCCGCAGGACGGCCGGGGCAGTCCCGGTGCACGGCCTGGCTGTAGGACGCGCCAGCGGAGCCGAGCCTCGCCTCGCCTCGCCGGGAGGAGGAAGGCGCTGCCCGCCCCAGAGGCGCCGCGCTGAGCCATGGCCGTGGCCGTCACCACGAAGACGGCATGGAAGCTGCGTGAGTGCCGGGCGAGGGAGCCGCCCCTGCTGGGAGCGGGGAGGGATAGGAGCCACCTCATCCCTGCTCTGGATATGGTGCCGCGACCCTCTGTCTACATTGTTGACTGTAATTTTTAACTCCTGGATGTCATGTTGGAAGACAGCGGCACAGTGAATAGCATGGCCTTGTCAGTGCTATTTTCCAAAAGGGTCATGGCCTTTGTTTTTTCTGACTAGCTGCTGCAGCACTAGGCTAAGTGTCTGTCTAACCCCACATGACTCTACTGTAGTACAAGAACAACCCAATCGGTGAAGGATGGGGCACCTGTCAAAGGGCACCCTGGATTTACGGATAGAYTGGKGAATGAGAGGCTGGAGAGCAGCCCCACAGAAAGGGACGTAGGGTTCCTGGTTGRTGGCAAGTTGAAAATGAGTCACCAGTGTGCCCTGGTAGCCCAAAGGGCCAGCTGTGTCCTGAGGTGCWTCGAGGAAGGTGATGGTCCTGTCCTGCTCTGTGCTGGTGCAGCCCTCACCTCGAGTCCTGGGKGCAGGTTTGGGCACCACAGTCTGAGAAGGATATAAGGCTTTTGGAGAGCATCCAAAGAAGGGCTATGAGTATGGTGAAGTGTCTAGAGCTGTAGCATGCAAAGGACATGTCGACCCAAGGCGACAGGGGTCTCTTGGCTTGTTCAGTCTGGAGGACACTAAGGGCAGAGCTTATCATGGGCTGCAGCTTCTTGATGAGTGTGTTGAAGAGACAGCTTGGATCTCTGCTCTCTCTGACCAGTGACAGTATCTGAGGGAGAGTCTGGTCTGTGCCAGGGGAAGTTTAGGTTGAACATTGGGAAAAGGTTCTTCACCCAGAGGGTGCTTGGAACAGCCTCCCCAGGGAGGTGCTCATGGCATCGAGCCTGCGTTTGGACATAGCTCTCAGACAGAGGGTGGGATTGTCCTGAGCAGAACAAGCAGGAGTAGGACCTGATGATCCTTGTAGGTCCCTTGCAACTCAGAATATGCTGTCATTCAATAGAAACTGCTCTTGAGAGCCAAATTATGGTGGGGAATTCCCTCAGTGTCAGGGAGAAAGCCCCAGAYTTAGCTTCTGTGGGGTTATCCTTCATTGATGCTCACTTGTTACAGAAAGTTCATTGAACTCTCTGCTGCAGGAGGAATGGGGTGATCTTTGCAGGGCCAGTGTCYCACTGTCTTGAAATGGCTTTGCAAGAGCTAGTGAGAATCTACTGGTTTTATGTCCATTTTTCTTCCTCTGAAGGAGCAATAGACAGTTGCTGACTTTGAGTTTCTAGCTGGTCACTGAAAAGTTATTTCACAGGGGCTGTCGAGGAATGCATAGTAGCAACAGGACGTGATCARTTGCTTTAGTCAGTGAATGGGGTCTGGAAATTGGCTGGCAGAAATTGTGTCCTTGACTAGTAAAACATGAAGGCATCTGAGATAACTGACTTAGGAATTTTTTATCTTTTTGAGCAGAAAGCTGGTTTGCTATGTTATCTTCCCATCCGTGAAATTCCAGTTGCAGGAAAAACTGGAAGTCTATCCAGCTCCATTCTGCATAGGTGAATAGAGGTTCTTGGTCTACATTTTTGCTGGGCTCTGCCCCATCTTAGCATCCACTTTAGCGCAGGAAGTATTCTGAATGTTTGGGATATTTCAGCAATGCTAGTTAGGAGTTTAGTGTTACTGGGCTGGTGTGTGATAGCTGGTGACAAGAACTTCATTAAACAAAAAAATTGTGGGTTTAAGGGGTTTGTGGGGGAGCGAAGGAAACTCTCTGGCCAAAGCAAACAGGTTATCAGCTTGCTTTTATAAACAGAGGTTTGGATGCTTTCACAATGAYTTTTAAACTTACAATATATTATTAAGAAGGAAATCATGAGGGGAAAAAGTGGAGCTGCTGACACTCATTTCAGCAGCAATCCTCAGTATCTGTCCTTACAAGTTTAACTAGTGAGTTGATCTATTAATGCTAATTGTACTTTTGGTTTCCTTCTAGTCTGTGTATCCATACAAGCTTTGTTTTAGCATTTTTATGTGGAAGTTTGGTCTTTCAACACAATACAGGCATGTTTTCAGATTTGCCCTTTGCGTGTAATTTATGGTTCAGTTACCCTTATAATTKGAAAGGTGTTTCTCCAGCCCAAGTGAAAGTTGCACAGTTTTGTTTTCCTAAAAGCACTCTTGGAAGTTTGAGATCAAAGTACCTATAATTATTAGTGATATTAGCAGATATCTAATATCCTTTTGGATTAGTGTCGCCTGTAAAACAATCAAATTGCTCCTCCCAGCCAAACAACCCTAATGAAAGCTGAATTGATGCTACCTAGCCTTTTTACAGACACATTACTATTTTTATAGTTTCATAACTATTAGGCATGCAGRTCCTGTGACCTTTCAAAGAAGTGAACAGTAAGATGAAGATACCGGTAAATGCATCTGCCAAAAGCCCCTGCCAAAATTTTGAGWGAATTTAAAATTCCACTGTAAGATGTCTAAGCAAAGATGCTTGTTCAGCTTCTTTTTTGCCCCAAATGGGTTTCTTCATGATGAGGTTTCCATAGAGTTCTGTTGTTGCAATGTCTGAGCTTCCTCTCTGCTCCCAGTTTTTAACAGTCATTTATCATCAATCAGACATGTTTTTTATTGCCCTTTTGGATAGGTATTCACCCTCCTTTGTCWCAGTTGCACACTCTACAGTGCTCAATTTTGCCTGTGTTACCTAGTGGGGATGTGGCAAAGCCTCTGTCAGAACTCAGGGAAGGGAGCTCCACCTCTCCCCGCTGCTGAGTCTGACTTTTTTCTGGGTAAGGTACCAAACTGTACTGCTGCTCCTCTGCCAGTTGCTCTCAGGCTGGACTGTCTGCTGCTGCTCTCTAGAGCAGGATTAGAGRGCCTTTCACTAGATTACTCTGGCTGCTGTGCATTATTGCAGGTAAAGCACTTCTGTGATGATGTTGCTGCACTTGAGCAAATCTTCAAAAGCTCCTGAGCTGCTGCAGTTGAGAGAAGACACTTTTTGTGAGCCATGTGAGGACTGGAGTCATGAAGCATTGGTCAGCAAATGTCTCAAGTGCAGCAGGCAAAGCCAAGAGGGGATGTTGAAAGCAAGATAATAGTGTGACTTCTTATCTGAACAGTGGGCTGCT